CATCTAAAACTTGAAAAAAAGAAAATAAAAAAAAATCTTCTGAAATTTTTTTGTATGATCGAGTTTGTTTTCCTGTTATTCGATCATGTCTGTTTTGGTCTGCGAGCTGTTGAATCTGTCTCGGATCCATACCGAGTTCTGTTGGCTCTTCCAAGTGCCATTATGTTCTTTTAACTGTCTCGACTGCTTTGTCTAGAATTTTTGTTTGATTGATCGAGCCTACTCTGATATGGCCCTTAGTTCCTGAGGCCATCTGTTCTTAAGGCTTGTTGATTCGCCATTGCTTTCTGTGCTTGTTGTTCAAGCAATTTGAGCATGGCAACCACTGCTTCTACTGATCACGCTATGCACTTGAAGATGCAACTGCTAGTTGCTGCAACTTGGTGTTCAAACTCCAACTGCTCTTTCTCTTACCATCTTGAGTTTGAGGGGGAGTGTGAAAGGAAACTATATATTGTATACTATGCTAATATAGAAGGTATATATTGTAATCAGTATATATGGGAAGGCTAGATGCAGTATTCTGTATTTTGTGGTAAGTCTTGGTATAGTTTAGGTATCTGTGATTTATTTCTATTTTTCTCATATGTAATTTGTTTATAAAAGACAACTCTGTATTTTCATATGTTTAGTGGACACTGAGTCTCTTCAGAGAAACTTGAGACTCTTCACAATATTGTTGTCCAAGTAAAAAAGGTCGTAAAGCAATTTTCTTCTAAAACTTAGCATGCGTGAACTATATCCAAGCTGACATAAGAAAGCCATCAAACAAGTAAACAACGTGACAAAACGAATCCCAATGAGCAAACATTGTCTCGTGTGAGCAATTTGCATTAAGGTATAAAGAACCTGATCAATTTTATATTCTTTTGAATTGGAAACACACATTATTTTTCACATGAGCTACTAGATACACTTCAACCATTGTTGCAAAACTCGGTGACTAGGTTGTGGAATTGCTTGAGGCACTTGGATCCAATTCCCTGTTAGGTATGGAGGTCCCAAATTGGTAGACTTAGATCTAGGTTCAAACTGGATTGGTTCTTGTAGGGATTTGGCGAGTTCATGGGCCTACTCGAGTGAGTCCTTGAAGTCGTAGCCCAAATTGTGGAGTCTGACCTCTTTTTTTATTTTATTTTAATATTAATTTCAGCAAGAGAAGGTGAATAGTTGACGCATTTCATCCAATCTAGGGTATCAATCCCCAAATTTCATCTCTATGGTTGTTCTCAACCCTCTATCGAATCGTTAAATAAGATCAAAATTTTACAGATTTGAGAGAAATCGAAATCTTCAATTTGAGATCCAAAAAGCTTTGACAAACTTTGGATCTTGTCAATACAAAGCCTAACCCCAGAATTACTTTTGAGTGGTTAGATTTTGTGAACTTTGAATGTTAATCACATGATTGGTTTTACAGTGTTAGTTTTTCATTTTAAAGCAATAGATCTCGTTTGATTTCTTTTAAATGCTCTAGATCTATGTTGATTTCTGTTTTATTCAGCTAGATCTAGTTTTTGTTTGCTTACTGACAGCTAGAACACATGTTTTTTCTTCAAATTTGTACTCTATTTTTTATTAATATGTAGAAAGTTTCTGTAGAGAGTTAGAAATGTCATTTTTTTAGCATGGGAAATGCTTATTTCCATATTTCTATTCTTCCATACTTCATTTTCTCTAAATTATTCTTGATTTTTTCAAATTATTTATGACTTTTCAAGACTTTCTCCCAGTTTTTCTATCTTTTCATCTACTTTATGCATAATTTTCTATTTTTTCCTTCTTGCACGTTAATGGGTGTTTGATGCTTTCAGGGATGTTAATACCACCAAAACATGTTCAATTGTTTTTGGGATTGAAATGCCTTATCATGTTTGGGATTGAAATGCCTTGTGATGTATGTCAATAACTCTTTTTTTGTCCAAAAGTTCTGATTTTCCAATTGCAAAAAGAATTTGATCAAAATTTTGGAACATGCATTTTTTGTGTATGAAAAGCCTCTTCTATTTTTTTTGTTTTCATTTTATTTTATTTTATGTGTAGGTTTAGGTTCCAAGATTCTTTTGTTTCTAATTAATAGTTGATCTACCTTTCTAGTAGAAGTATGTCATGGTCAAAATATCATCCATGGGGTTAGGGAGCATCCCAATTTGACATATACGTATGTCACGGTCAAACTTTGATTTTTGTTGATGTGGATAACCAAGAGGTTCAAGGGTCCGACTCACTTGGACGCTCCTGAGATATGAAAAGGGAGCGAAAGTGACTCCCTGGGGATTATGATGGGCAGAACAGTACATGGTAACCCATCTCTTTGAGAGTGAGAGGAGATCGGAGAGTGGATGAGAGAAGTTCAAAGGATGGAGAGAGATGAGGGGTATGAACCATAAAGCAGAGAGGGTGAGAGATGTGAAAGGGCGAGATAGGAGATGAGAGATCTGGGAGAGAGGAGGGAGGATGAGAGAGAGATGAGAGGTTCATAGGGAATGAGAGAGTGGTGTTGGTGGTGTCACAACATGATGTTTTGAGTTCCATTCCTATCATGGGTAGGGGATCCCTTCCCCGATGATCTCTTGAAAAAGAAAAAGAAAAAAAGGAACACATAAATGATAGTTCTGAAGATGGTGGACTCCTATAGGAATCTTGTGATGGGTTTCTTGTATTAAGCAATCCAGTTTAAGCAGGTAACTAGAGACGCATTTTCATTCCATCACCCAATATGGGGAATAATTGATGATTGATAGAGTAACTTGTTGCACTAACCAAAACAGACAACAAGTATTTTTGGCTTTTAGACATCTAATAGTTATAACCATTTGAATTTTGGAATTTTGATTATGGTTTTAAAATTGACTGGGGTTCATATAATTAACAATGGGATCCTGTGTTAAATGTGCATGCTATTGAGGTTTCTTCTTCAACCCAGCATACTTCTATAACCCCGGACAATCAACTCACATTGAGATCATGGACGAGGTGAAATATTGCATAGAGAGATTGGATCTTGAAGCTTTGAAGGAGGTATAAAAGAGTTTTTGATGAAGTTTCCCCGGCTTACGTCATCATGAGTAATGCAAGCCATGTTTATATAAACTACTAGACTTTGGTTGTTCCTCAACTTTTTTTGTATGTATGGTCATGGGAAATTTACAACAAACCTTGCTCGAAGATATCTCATTCAGCTGGATCCAGGTTTGCTCTCAAGTCCTTTTGCACCTTGCTCGAAGAGGAGTCACTTCTTAATAAGAGCATACTGGAAGAATAGTTGGGCCCCATCAAAGTGGAAGGAGATGAAGATGCTCAGGAGGCAAAAAGCAAGATGATGTCTAAAATCCCAGATCGAGTGGGTGAACCGGTCATTCGCAAAGCCAATTCAGATTGGAGAATCCCTGATCCAAATTGGTGATCTGGCCGAGAGAATTGAGAGATAAAAATTTGAAAACAAAAATAAAAAATTGGAAAAAAAAATGAAAATGCCAGATTGCATGGTTCCCTAACAGAACTGGTTGGTTTTGTCAGAGAACTGACCGGTTATATGGGGATTGGTTGATCCCTGTTTTAATTGGGAACCACACTTATATCCATTGATTCTCGATCGAATCAACCTATACATATCTGAATTAGCATTTCTTCAACAGCCATTGGAAGAGTTGCACTAGTTGAGAAGCAAGGGATGATGGGGGAGGAGATGATGACAATGAAGCTAAATGGAGTTGTTGGAGGGAGCATGAGTGGTGGGGTGAGAGTGGGCACGACGGTTGGGCTAGACTTGGGACTTTCCGTTGGGAGGGACAATTGAAGTTACTCACTGATAGACTCATTCCTAAACTTATGGAGATAGTCGGGATGACTACGGGCCTCCCTATCATTTGGGTCGGACCTGTCATTGCAGTTTAGCTTTCAATAACTACAAGTTCTCATTCCTGAGGTGTATAAAAACTTTTGAGAATTTCTTCTGTCAATTGCATGTCTCTCCTATCTTCTCCCTCAAATAAATGGATGGCTCTCATTTTCTTGTGCAAATTGCTTAAGAATTGATGTTAGAGAAAAATATACGAACTTGGTAAAATTTTAGAAGTCAGTGTTGGTCATGGAATTTAGGATGCCCATTTTGATACGTGTTAGTTTGAACTTTGAATTAAGAAAAAACAGCTTCTCTGTCTTTTTGAAAATTCAGAAATGCATATTATACATCTTCTTTCCATTTAAATGTGTGTAACCTACCTCTCTCTCATGTCTTAATGTATTTTGGTGACCTCTCGTGTTGCATGCTTCACCAATTTCCTCAGTTGTTTCTTTTTGTCCTTTGTGTAGCCCCCCCATGGCATCTTTACCCTAACCTTGTGTAACTTCTTTGGCATCCAGAGACATCTAAAAGTTGGCATTGTGTGCATTCATGTCAATGTTAGTAAGACTGGAAACGACCAGCTTGTCGAACTAGGGTTTGGAACCAGTCTGGTCTGATCACCGAACCAACCGATCTGGTCTAATCACTGAACCAGCAATTTGTCAAAACTGGTCGGAAATGGCAGGTTCAAATCAACCAGTTGCCAGCTGGTTGAACCACTTTTGACAGGTTTTTATATATTTTTACCCATATGTTTAAGACTGGACTAGTGAACTATCTTGTCTGAGCAGTTTGGACCGCTCGGTGCCCTCACTAGTTTGATGCCCAGTCCAGTCTTGACAACTTTGGTTCATATTGATAGTTGATGCAGATGCAAATGCAAGCTGTGGAGAAATGTGGTGCGAGCTCTTCCATCTAATTATGCATACAGATTTGTGTAGTTTGGTTGATTAGTTCACGTAGGAAATACTTTTGGTAATACACACTGTGCTGTGAATGACCATATTAGATTCCTCTCTCTCTCTCTCCCCCTCGTACATAAAAACATACATGTATAACTTATGTATGTATAGATGTGATTCTTAACTCTATTCTGCATCTCCAGCTGCAACTCTTTTTGTGCTTCCATAACTTACTTTCACATCCATTGTAGGTTCTGTTAGGAGATGGATACTACGCAGAACGTAGTTCGAAACAAACTTCAGAGATTCTACACAGGCGAGCGAAAACCTTGGAGTCTAAAGTTGAGGGCCTAAAAGCCATGTTGTTAGACCTTGAAGCTGAGGCATCGTTTTTCAATGCTACGGCTGCTGAAGCTGCTGTAAGTTTAGGCTAACTAGCTCTCTCTCTCTCTCTCTCGTCTCTTTTTATATGTATATATGTGTATGTGCTTGCTTAAGCGCGTGTGCTCATGCGTTTATGGATACTTTTTGTTCATATCTGATGCCCTTGTAAAATGATTCTTGAGCCATTTTATTATGATTTGGTAATTATTGAGGACTCTTCAATTTTTAAGCTGATATTTATAACAAAACTTGTTCACATATTCAAAATTCTGTCTACAATGAATTGGATTTGATTAAATTCAGAATTATTCAATAAAAGTTTACTATAAAGAATGAACTATCTAATAGGTACCACAATAGATTATTGTGGCGTTATGTGAAATTTTGGTAATCATCTTTACGGGCCTTTTGCACTTGGTTTCTTTTTGCTGCTGTAGGATCTATGAGATTTTTTTGTTATATTCTTCGTAGAAGACAATGCATAACTATTACACATATTTGTTGGAGACAAATTTGACTCATCCCTTAGAAAAAGGTTGAATTACTTAAAGTATCACCTATCCCATATATACAATTACAGACCTGCAGGCCAAATTACTCAATTCAACATGCATGTCTCATATCTAACAGACTAACACTATACAACAACATATTGATGTCAAACTGATTAGGGATCTGCCTTAAGTAGATTGCTGGAAAGAAATAGATGATGTACTTGAGAGTATGTATCCTCATGTTTAGGAGATCTGCATGCTGATTTGTGGTGATATGGTAAAGAGAGATGTCGATCAATCAGTTTCTCATTAATACTTTGACAAAGTGCTTTTGTTAGTTCCTTGTGCTCATGAATGTTGGGTTAAATAAAATGTCTATTGCACCAGGGCTATTTCCTTTCTTACGAATTGTTAAATGTGTGCTTACCTCTCTGAGAACCCTCAAGCTTAGTTCATGTCTGTTGACACACATTATATGCCTTTGCATTCCATTATGAACAGACCTTTTTGCAATTCTAGATGACTAGAGGATATTTGACACATCCAAAAATATTATGACTCCTTAAAGAGTATGTGCCAAAAGTAAGAATTTTAAGAAGTCCACTGGTGGCCAAATAATGTCATTTAGTTTCTTTTGCATTCACATCATCTCACTCAATGGACCTTCTTCACTATTGAGGCTTTAGATCCCTACTCTGGAGCATCATGCTTAGGGATAAATATGCAAAACTCAATGAGCTATTTGTCACTTGCTAGGGGAATATGGACATATATGTTGAAGTAATATTGATTGGATCATGCTTGAGTTGATAGAAGCTTTTGGTGGTATTGGGGTTTTGTGGCCATTAAACGCCTTAAGAGCAAAATCATTATAATAGTGGATATATACTCCAATGGGAGATGGTCCTTATGGGACTAGTATGGTATTTTATAATTTAATGGTTGGCTCACCTAGGTTGACTGATCCAGGCTTGGGACTGAGTCCAAAATCCTTATCTTTGGGCATATGACATAACCCTTGAGGGTTTCATTGAAGGGTCATCTTGCGTTGATGTCCAAGAGATGTCTAGGGATGATGTTTGTCCTGCATGTAGTTGGAAGCTTGTAAGGGCAAGGGTCAAATCCTTAACAACCACCACATGGCGTGTATACATGATCTGTCCTTAGGGGGAGCATATAATCCATACAATAAAATCGCGCTCCCACTAATTATTTCCCAACTTCACTGGGCCTGTCATGAGCCCTTGTGATTGATTGAGTGTCATGGATCCCATTAGGTTGGGTTGAGGAGATAGTCTGTGGGTCACAGATTTTTAGCATAGGTGGTGGAGTGCCTTAGATATCGCATATTCTTGACCAGTTGGTACTAGTCTTCTTCTATAAAGTTTTTATTTGTGTTTTTGAATAATTATGGTACACCAAAAATAACTTTCCAAATTTTATTTATGCCATGTGGTTTTTTAATTCAATTAAAATAAATCTTCGCAATGTGGTTTTTTAATTCAATTAAAATAAATCTTCGCAATTATTCTTTTTTATTTCTTAAAATTGTTTTATGAGCATTTATACAATTTGCAAATATTTTATGGGTCTTATAAAGTGTTTGACTAACATGGAGGGCCTAAGGCCACGACCCCACGTGTGTTTGATGTCCCTACTAATATGGGATGAGGGCCCTACATGGGACCCACATCTTACTCTGCCCACGCACCTCTTTCTCTCTCTCCTACAAGTGGATGAGGTAATTATGAGAGAGAGAATTTGAAGGGGATAAGGATAAGGTTCTTAAAATAATTTTATTTATAAAATTATGAGAACTATTTTTTCTTAAAGGATTATGGATTTCTGACTGAAAATTATCTCTAGAAGATTTTGAAGTCCTAATCCTAATGGAACTTGGATTTATGGAGAAATCTAATCCTAGTGGAACTAGTAGAGGATAAGGGTCAAGGATCTAATGGGTAACGGCTCTAGGATTCTTCCCGTCATCATGATGACTGATTTAAAATTGGATGGCTCAGATTAATTCTCTCTTCACCTCACATATTACTTAGGACTCCTTGGTCAAAGCTGAATACTATTTGAAGATGGCAACCCTAGACCTCATAAACCCTATCATTCTTAGCACCGGAACCTACCCTCCCTCCCTCCTCCCTCCTCTCTCTCT